CCACGACCAAAAAGTCTCTGGCTCTGGTCGAGGCTAATCTAGGGTTGCCAGCCTCCAGGTGGGGCCTGGGGATCTCTAGCTGACAGAGATTAGCTCCCCTGGAGAAAATGGCTGCTTTGGAGGGTGGACTCTATGGCATTTTATTTATTTATTTATTTAATTTTTGACTTATATACTGCCCTGACCCCGGAGGGTCTCTGAGCGGTTTACACAGCTGTTTATCCCTAACTAGGGCCACATTATTTGTATGGGGGGGTGATAACCTACCAGCACCCCGGTCGCGGGCTCAGTTGTTATTCAGTTCCTGGCTCGGCTCGTTGTTCAGTCCCTGGCAGCTCTTCGGCGCTTCACTTCCTGGTGCCCGGAGCAGGTCTTAAACCACGGCTCCTTCCGGTGGGCTTCACCTGGTGCTTGGCAACGCGCCAGCCGCAGCTCTGGTTCCGTCCCGCGGCGGAATTGGGCCCCAGGGGGAGCTCTGCCCCCTGAAGCTGTGTCACCAGAGGTGACGCAGCCACATCGCTCACGTTGGGGGCGTGGCCTAGATCATTGGGGGGAAACCGACGATCTGGGCCATGCCCCCAACGTGAGCAACGTAGCACGTCACTTCCTGTGACGTGCTGGTGGTGCGCCGACAAGGAGCTCCCGGAGCCCAGCAAGGCTCCCCCGCCGGACAAGGTAAGACCACTTGGCAACCCTAAACACAAGTGTGATACCATAAGTTTGACGTAGTGCATGCAGCTACTGTGGTCTTTTTCTTGCCTTTCCAGTTGTGCAGGAACTTTAGTCCCAAAAAAAATTGTGCTGTATCCAACCCAAAGTTTGATCCATGTTCCCCCATGGAGCAAAGGAGCAGTAAATAGTTATATGTGATAACAGCCCTTAGTGATGGCACTGCAGGTATGGAGCTCCCTCCCCAGGGATGTCTGTTTTACTCCATTTCTCTTAGCCTTTAGACATCAGCTAAAATGGTTGTGTTTCAGAGGTGTTCATTACCTCTTATGAAGTGAGGCATAGTGTTTCACTCTCACCTATGGAGTGGGCTCTTTATGAAGTTCTCTGTCTTATTTTATTGCTGCTGGTGACTTTTTAAATTCTTTTAAAATTTGAGTTTTAGTTTTATGCAGGTTTCTTTATGGCCTCAACAAGTCGAAAATCAAGAAAAATGGTGAACTAATGTTACAAGCTATGTTAAATCATGAATTATTAACAGATATATCCAAAAGCTAGCGACTAGGCCATCCTTTCCCATGCCATTGCCATGCCATTGCTAGTAGACTTTGAGCCCAAGTACATATCTATAGCAATCTTTACCATCAGTTTCAGGAGTAAATGGTTTGTTATCTCGTAAAACTAAACAGCTACAGTGGCTAAAGACCTTATGAGCTGTAATTTAGATAACTAGACTAATTTTGAAAAATCCAGGACAGTAGCCATTGTAGCAAAACCAAAGGACATATTTATATCCAACTTGGAAATTATTTGGAAAATATGATGGAACCCGGCCTGGTTAGCTTGCCTTAAGTAGAAATCAATGAAGAGGAGACATTAGATCAATATTTTAGTAACTAACAACATGATAAGGTGTGAGAGAACGAATATGTTTAGCTGCAAGTGAGAGAAGCTCAAGAGGAAAAAAATTCAGCAACTTGCTGTGAACATAAAAGTTCTTTAATTTTTAGTTCTAGCAGAACCAGAATTGGTAAAAACAGTTCTCCATGTCTTTCCATGGTTCACACAACTTTCTGAAGTAATTTGTCAGGGACTTTCCAGCAAAAATTCAACAGCAGGTCTACAAGAGGAAACTGCTTTCATTATTGTGAAAGCAAGCACATACCGTATGTTTTTTGGGAAAGATATTTTAGAAATGGCTAAGCAGTACTTATCACACAGAATGGTATGAAAGGTAATTAATGAATCTCTAGTATGTGCTTGACTTGACATTTTTCTATGCGTTTGGCTATGATTTTAGAGAAAGCATATGTATAAACCCTGCTCTGGTGTGACTGCATAGCATTTAACATGACAAATTTTACAAATTAAATTGACTTCACCTTGTTGTCTTTTCTTCTTCCTGTTCTCTGTGCAGATATGAACAACCCAAGTGTGATAACAGTGCCAGAGCTCATCCAAGCAAAACAAAAGATTTGTTCAAAGGGCGCCAGCTTCAAGGTCAGTGTCTAACAAGTGATGTTTGGATAGGATGTTTAGTTACTGAATTCACCTGGGAAGAGATTCTGTACAGCCCCAAAGCAAAACTGTGTGGAACACTTTTATGTTGGTTTTTATTTTGGATACCACTGGAGCTGAGTTTGAAACTGAGGTGAATATAAGGAAAAGGAAGTATTTTTTTTCTATATTTGTGTAACTTCACATCT